GCTCAATTCAAGATGAAGACAATCACTTTCGCATAGTTTGTATGACTATATTCTCTTCCAGCCCCAGCCTCAGCCACGGCTCCAGCCTCAGGGCCAGTATTCCTGTCCGGTGAGGCAGCCGATAGCGTTCTGCAGAGACACAAACGCTATAACACTGGTGTGTTTGAGGAGTTTCTGGAGGGCAATTTGGAGAGAGAGTGTAAAGAGGAATTATGTGACCTGGAAGAGGCCAGGGAGATCTTTGAGGATGATGTAAAGACGGTGGGTATTTATTTAGTTTGCTTTTATTTCATGCAAATTCTTTTTTCTGCATATACTCATCAGAGACTTTACCCTTTTAGATGGAGTTCTGGGCAGGATATGTAGGTAAGAATGCTGTTTTATAACAGACTTGTCGCAGTTCAAACAGAAAATATATGATGAATGATAGAAATGTTGCAGTGATGGCTGTATGTTTGTTTGTTGTGATACATTTCTCTCTGGCTTCTTAGACTATAAATCTTTTACGTTATATTCCATCAGTCATTGCTAAAGTTACTCCAGAAATGCTTTTTATGTAAAGATGTTTCTCATCTTGCTTTTTGTCCCTGAGTAAACATTGCTTCATATAAGGACTATACAAAATGAGGTAATCAGGCGACTGTGTTGAGGTGTTGTGTCTGGATTTTTTCAGATGGCAACCAGTGTGACTCAAGCCCATGTCTGAACCAGGGGTCATGCAAAGACCACCTTGGTTATTACACCTGCTCATGTTCGGCTGGCTTCACTGGCAAGAGCTGTGAGATTAGTAAGTGAAAGTCCTGTGGCTTGATTTAAACATAAGATCAAAAGTAATTAGATTTGTATGCTACTTGATCCAAATTTTCTGAGAACATGAGATTACATCTGATCGGATCTCAGTCTCAAAGGATAAACAGCCAGTTACCTTTTTTTTTCACTTTCTAAATCAAATGAATGGCTCGCAACCAGAGTCAGCCTGGTTTTAGGGCACAAAATTAGATTGTTTGTCTTTTTGGATATCCTAAAAACAGCACACAAAGTGCCCTCTCTGTGAGTAGTGACGTTACCTGACTCACATGTTTATTTGATCATAGAGGAGGTTCACAATTTTACAAGTATGTCTTAAAACAAAAGTTTTGAACCCATATGAACATTAAAATGTTCCCAAAATGACATCTAACTATTATTATTATTATTACAAAAAAATGTGAACCTGTAGCCTTTAATCATACAGGGCAAGTCATACAATACATGTTTGACACTTTTAATGTGTTTTTTCTCTCCTCAGTTATAGAAAAAAGGTGTGACATCAACAACGGAGACTGTATGCACTTCTGTGAATCAATGGGAACCTTTGGAGCAAAATGTTCCTGTGCGACAGGATACAGGCTGACTGAGAATGGGCTTAACTGTGAACCAGAAGGTATCAGCATCTTTCTTAATTAATTATCTGCTAAATATGACAATGACTCTTAATTCCACAATGTGACTCATCTATTCTCACATCACCAGTTCAATTTCCATGTGGCAGAACTGCCCTAAGCGTGAACGCAGTATTCACAAGGTCTCTGCTCAGCCGTGAGAATGCGAGCCTGCAGAACTCCACTTCACTGACCACTGTCCCCCCTACTACATCCATTCCCTCAACTCCAGCCAGTACCACAGCATCTTTTCCACGAAGCCACTCCAGAAAAAAACTGCCCCTGTGGGTGTACACCGACACTGTGGTCCCCACTGAGGGTCCACCAACGACTAATAAACGCATCGTAGGTGGCGAGGTGGTGATTCCAGGAGAGATCCCATGGCAGGTACTGTATGAAAGTGGTTTGAAGAATGAAGCATGTAAAGCTTTGTTACAGGAAATGCCTGAGGGAAAAGAAACAGCAGGTGCAGTATGTTCACTTTCTTGTAGCTACTCACAGCTCTTTTCTCTCTTTTATTCAGGTAGCCTTGATAGCGCGTCCCAGTGGTCAGTTATTCTGCGGGGGCTCCATTCTCAGTGAACGCTGGGTTATCACTGCAGCTCATTGCCTGGTGGAGGCACAGGGCTCCTTCTTCATCAGAGCGGGTAAGATTCACCGACTAGTTTGCCTCGACTAAAGTATGATGGAGTAGCTCTGTGTAAAGTATAGCTTAAACAGCCACACAGATTTTTTGATGGTTCTGGCTGCTTGTCTTTGTCTTATGTAATCTGAGTATCTTTGGGGTTTTGCACAGTTATTCAGTCAAAAAAATCTATTTGAAAACATAACCTTTTTGTATTAGCCATTTTATAACACTGTAAAGACCAAATGATCAACAATTTATCAAGAAAACAACCTGCAGTTTAATCCATAATAAAAATGTGTTACTGCAGCCCTAGTGTAAGGTTTTGTGTAACATAGTCCTTGAAATAATTATTGATTTAATGTCATTTATTATACTTAGAATACAAAATTATTTTGCAATCTTTATTGAAGAGTAAATCCATTGAGGGAATTAGTGATATCTGTATCTAATATCTGTACCTGCAGGAGAGCATAACATCTACATTAAGGAGGACACCGAGCAGGATCACGATGTGTTGGAACAGCACTTACACCCACGCTACAACGCCACTTTAAGCTTGTACAACCATGACATTGCCCTGATTTACCTCAAAAGCCCTATCACCTTCTCCAAAACAGTCCGACCCATCTGCATAGGACCCAAGGCTTTCACTGAAGCCCTGGTAAAGGACTCTACCCCGGCTACAGTCAGCGGCTGGGGCCGAACACGGTTCCTTGGATCAACGGCTCACACTTTGCAGAAGGTCGAGGTTCCCTTCACAGATCGGACAGAGTGTAAACTCAGCAGCAGTGCCAGGATCACTCCTGTCATGTTCTGTGCAGGATACTATAATGAGGCCAAAGATGCCTGTCAGGGCGACAGTGGAGGCCCTCACACAAATAGAATTCATGACACGTGGTTCCTGACGGGCATTGTGAGCTGGGGGGAAGAATGTGCAAAGGAAGGGAAATATGGTGTGTACACCCGCTTGTCTCTTTATTACGGCTGGATAAAACATGTTATGGGATTAACTAAGCAAAGGCTGGCATTTGATGTGGAAGACCCTGACTTTTAAATTTAAGATTATAGATGTTGTGTGTGAAATAAAGTATATCTTTTGGCTTGATGCTCTTTTAACTTCCAAGGATATAATCCAAAATCACAAGATGCTTTGAATTATATGTGCTTTGAATTTTGCATGCGATCCATGAATCTGATGGTGAAACTGGGAGGTCATGGGTTTAAACTCTGCAACGACCAATGTGTCCATACATGTCAGTGGCCTACACTGTATTGAACAAAATTCATGTCATACCTACAATAAACGGACTACATTTGCCTGCTGGTAAAATTATAAATGTTTTACAAGTAGTGGTATTCAGTAGCAGAGAAACAAAAAAGGTATTTGCAAATCCAGGCTTCAATAGTGGTGGAGGAAGTATTCAGAATCCTTACTCAAGTAAAAGTTTTGCATTGGAAATGTTACTTAAGTAAAAGTAGAAGTATAATCAGAAAAATTTACATAAAGATGTAGTAGGTAACCTTTATAAAAACAGATAATCTGTCATAATCTGTCAAATTCCTCTGGCTCCTCCTTGTGCTCCTAATGGCATTTGCAACAATCTACCAAAACTTATTTTTTATAAAAGTTTCCTACTGCAGCTTAAAGTATCCAAGTCAAAAGAATAGCTGCTGATAGATTATTATTAGCCATTCATTAATGTAAAAGCAGGATTTTACTGTTGGTGAAGCTCATTTTCTACGATTTTGTAGGACTGCAGCTAATGATAATTTTCACTATTGATTCATCTGCTGATTATTTTTTCAATTAATTGTTGAATAAAATTTAAAAAATTCAGAAAACAGACAAAAAAAATGCCCAGAATCCAAAGTGAAACTTTCAAAATGCTAATTTTATTTAAATTATAATAAAAAAATTAAAAGGAAAAGCAAATTTGCAGCAAAAATATTTGTGAAGCTCAAACATGAAATGCTTTTTACATGAAAAATTACTAATAATAGAAGTATATAATAGACATTTTCTATCAATTGACTAATTAATGAATCAACTAATTGTTTTAGCTGTTGTTAAAAAAAATACGGTTAGCTCTTTGTATGTTTTGCCTGCATATTTGTAAAGTGATGAATTAAAGCTGTCAGATAATTGTAGTGAAGTAAAAAATACATTCCCTCTGAAATGTAGTGGGGTACAAGCAGACAGTTTCATAAAAAGAAAAGACTCAAAATACAAGCATCTGAAATGTATGCAGTTACTTTCCACCACTGGGCTTTTGTGACCAAAACCACACAAAAAGGGAAAAGTCTGCACAATTGTATTATGTAACTTGGCTTCCATTAAAACAAGAACACAGAAATAATAGATTCAACCGGTGTATATGAAAAAGAGAGCAGCCAAATGTATTGCTGTTAAAACAAGTATTGAATTATTTTAACTAACCAAACCATTATTGCAATAAATAGTTTATTTGTATTTGATTATTTTTACAGAACTGAAGCTGTACAAAAGAAGCCAGTTAAGAACGGTTACTGTAACAAACCTGTTCATTGTTCAGTTGCCATGCATTTTCATGATAAACACTCAGCATCAAGCTCAGGCTACTTGGCTCATCAGGATACATATTATTTCAAGCAAGTTTTCTTTTGTTTTCCAACCTGGAAAAACTGTGCAAAATCTGCAGCATTTCGGATTAAAATTTCAAAGAAACCATCAGATTTTGTCGTATAAGCTTAAAATAAAATAAAATGGGGTTTTGAAGTGCAAGTCAAGCATAGCTCCCGTAAATATTATGGAGATGTAAATTAATTCAGGCTGCACAAATACCTCACAATGTGAAGGAACATGACAGCAAAATAAATAAATTAACAACATAGGAAATGTGTAGTGTGCAGCAGGCCCTGCTGCTTTCTACACTCATTTCCATATCAAACACAGCGTATCAAAGGCAGCCCTCCGACTGGGGCCTCGATTTGATGCGGTAAATTCATATAAGTCTGCAATCAATATTTAATTAAGCGTTCCACACAGAGGGTATATTTCATGTTGGCTGTATGATCTCGTTTAATGGGGAACCCAAGATTAACTGAGCTGTAATGGTGAGGAGGAAACAATCTGCCTCTGTGATGGAGGGGTACACAGAACATAATCGCTCTCTCTCTCTGTGTTTCTTTTACTCCTCGCTCTCCCTTCTCTACACTGTGACTGACAGTGGGCTCCCAAAAGATCCTGAGGAGAATGACAGTGTTTGGGGCTCTGTGGCATGAGCCTCCCATTCGTCTTCGGCACACACTGAGGAATATGCTGCCATCAATCTTCATTGTGTCTGTCTGTCTTACATTACCATCACTAACGTGTCAACTGCTGCCTGCATGTATGTCTCCCCTGCCTCCTGAACACATCATACATTCAAGAACAAACAAAGGCTACACCAGCATGAATAAGGGGAAATGCACAGTAAGAGAGATAAAGCAGCAAGCAAAGCACACATTCAGTAGACAATAGGTGGATTTTTTTTTTTTGTCTCTTTTGTTCATCCACCTTATTAAAGTGCCCGAATATTTGTGAGGTCAAGGTTGAAGCAGTAACAGAGTTTTTGATTTTGCAAACAGTACCTCCAAAAGAGCAGGAATAAAAAAGGCATTATGGCATGGCACATTTTGGCATTTTAACTCCTAGACTGTACACAAGAATGGTAGCTTAAGGAATGAAATGTAAGAAAAATACAATGAAGTAGTTCAATGGGAAACATCGACTAACGACACAAAGATGAAACACTGAGCCACAATAAATGTTAAAAATTACGCCGTATATATGTACAAAAGTCTTTTCTTTAAGAAATGTTTCAGGCAAATCCTGGGTTACCATCATACATCCAGCACACACCGAGACAAACAGGAACACACACTCTGAGATACTATAATGTCAAGTACGAGCTGGAATATGGAAGGGTTGACAAATGTTGTCCACAGATTGTAAAATGCTGCAGCAGCAACCTCACATCCCGAATATGTGTGTGTGATGCAGATGGGAGCTCCAGAAGGACAAGATAGTCATCACCAATCAGAAAAGAGGAAGACCAATCAGGATCCAGGGATCGGGTGTTGATTGTCCAAGAGGGCTAAACAGTTCCTGAGCCTTTGCGCTGGTGCCACAGCACACCTTCATAATCAGAAAACGCCAGCCTCAGGAGGTCGTCAATTAAAACCTAGAAGAAAATAAGGTCTGTAGATCCCCACATTTTTCTCTTTAATGATTTAACTGTGCTGGAGATAGCAGACCGGGGAGTGAGGAGTAGGACAGTTATGGCTCAACCTGTTCCTTCTGTCTGTTTTACCATCCACAGGTAAATATTAGATTCACATTCTGTGCTTTCTTCTCTACGGGGAGCTGAGCTTTCTCGCCTTCAGGTTCCCTGGGTCTACAAGAAAATATACAGCCTTTTAAAAAGAAAATCAAAGTAAAGAAATACCGTAGCTCAACATCATATTGTCATCTTGGAAGCCCATGTCTTTTCTTTACCGCCTAGTCTGGTGGAGTGTCCTCGACTACTGTCTCCTATAATCAGCTGCAGGCTGGCAGCAGCTATGAAGGCCTCCTGTCGCCGACTCAGGTTTTTCACCAGCCTGAAGGGTAAAGAAGTCGAGATAAAAGAGAGAGCAGAGATGAAGGGAACAATTAGATAAACTTTGTTACCAGGTTTAGCTCTACATTTTCTTTTGCCATACATTGTACCCTTTCACATATGGGATAGTTTTGCTGATCGCTAAGCCCCCCTGAGAGACTGGTTTATCTCACCGTATCTGTGGTGACTCACCAGCGTCCCTTGTTGTCCTCACACTGCAGTTGGATGGCATCTCCACATTTGATGGTAATGCTGTCTTGTCCATTTTGAAGACAGTCAGCCAAGGCCATGTATCTACCTGGAGACTAACACAAGAGGAAAACCATCAGGAACAAAGTAAGTAAAGATTTATTCTTTTCAAAGTAAAAGTTACAAAGTGCTTCATAATAACGGTAATTAAGCACAAAATAGAATTAAAACACAGCTAACAGAAAAATATTGTGTCTTAAAGAAAGTTTTTCAATTGAACAAGGTTTTTAAGAGTTAAACTAATCTAAGGTTTAGATGAAAATGTACAGTAGTTAGAGGCTCTGTAGACCTGACAGGTAGCCAGTGATGAAAGGCCAACACTTCATCTTTGTTAGAAGACAGCCAACAGTATGTTGAACCACCTGTAGTCAAGCTACTTGGAAAGGTTTCTCAGGCTAAAGTAAAATTACAGTAATCCAGTCGTGAAGACACAAAAGCATGTAATAATGGCTGATGTTTTACATGTTGTTTGTTTTATTATTTTATTTAATATGGAAAAAAAATTAAAGATAAGTCTTTTGGCTAACACTTGCACATTTACATTGATGTTTAGGAATGCCGGTTGTCCCCAGAAAAAAAGAAAAGTTAGAAATATTTGTTAATTGGAAAAAGGTATGGAATGAAATCCAAATCAAATGTGACAATGTTCAGTATATACTTATAGTATATAGTTAGGTAGGATGTTGTTCATACCAGTAGATATCCTCTACAAGGAATATACATATTTCTGCACTGTATCTAATGTGGCTGAGTTCTGTCTCACCAGTTGCACCAAAACATCCTCCTCGGTGTCAGATGGGTGGAAGGCGTCCCGACCTCCAGGCCACTCCTCCAGACCCTCGCAGATGTCTACCGAGTGATGAGCTCCAGGCCAACCTGAGACACACACACACAGTACTCAGGCTGTTACAGGTATTTATGAATGCATTCATCCAATCACTACACCTTAAAGGCACCATGTAGATACTTAGTAACTATATCAACATTATAAAGACCCCTTGTCACTTACTGGGAAATTAACAAGAACGTAGAATCAAAAGCTAATCTCAGTAGTTGGACCTTTTTTTCCCAAATTCCTCGAAGTACCTGGTTCTTCAAGTCAAAGTACACCTGAACTGCTAAGGGGGGAGAAGTCAAATATCTACATCAGTTAGAGATTATGAAGACAATCAGCAACAGCAGTGCAATACTGTACAAAAAAAACAATTCCTGTAACATTGTCTGTGATTTTGTTACTAAGTATCTACTTGATTATGGCATACATGTGTGTGGATAAGATTTACTCACTCCTGCGGTTGTGCTGGTGTTTAGGGGAGTGAGGCTGGGGGTCTGGACTGCTCCTCCCTGACTCTGTGTCCTCTGAGCTCACTGACACCCTCTGCTGCTTGCTGGGAGGAACAACACAAAACAAGATGCGTCACCAAATGTTGAACACCATCAGCAGCAGATACGCACAGGATAAATGTTATCCTCAGCCACACAATCTAGGGTCAGCTCTCACTTCCTAAATCTGATCTATCACCTCCGACTGTATAGCTGGCCCTAGATCAGTGTCAAGGGACAACTCTTTTCCTGTTGTTTCTCACACAGCCATGACCATTCAGGCACCAGCCAGACAGCAAGACAGAGCACAGATCAGCCATGTGCAAGTTGCTCTGAAAAAGTGGGAAGTACAGACCACTAACACGGTGCTCACACGTCAGCACAAAGGAAAGATCTGGTCTCGATTTATCAAGATCCAAATTTAGAGATTTGGTCACTCTATTATAGCTGCTAAGTAAGAATGTCTCTAGAAAGCAAATTCTACAATAGCTTGATTAGATCTCAAAAAACGAGCCCCATCTTAAAAAACAGCTGTCATGAGGAAATTAAGAAAATTCATGGGATGAAAACCAAAACTCTTCTTTTTTGTTTGCCCTTTGCATTACATGCAAAATAGCAAGTCTAAGATGTAGAAATAAGAGTAATTGCTTTTAGAAATGCCATGGAAGAGAGCTGCTAAGACACAGGCCTCTCAACGCGGCGAGGGAGTGTGGGGGTCAGTTATGAACCAGAATGGAGGCTAGAAAAATCGGGTGCAGGTGACGATCAGTATGCAAACACAGCAGCCCTGGGTTTTTGGTCCCCAAGCCAGGCCAGGTGGGTCATGCCAGGGCAAGGCGAGGTGAGCCAGGCTGAGTTTACCACTGAGCGTTAGGGCAGGTCAGTGGCGCTGGGGGCGGTGGCCGTTAGGGCAGGTCAGTGGCGCTGGGGGCGGTGGCGGGGCCGCGGCCGGGGCCGTTGCCGGGGGCTTCGGGGACGGGGGCTTCGGGAACGCAGGCACAGAAACACGTCGGCCGACAACGAGGCAAAGTCCAGCCCCGGCAGACAGCCCCTGGGAACCCCTCTGGACGGCCGCATGCCCCTGCAGGTGGGGGATGGGAGGAGTGGGGATAGGCAACCAGACAGCAGTGGACAGACTGGGGGCCTGCGCCCGTTCTCACACACCGCTACACACAAAGCTTCTATTAGGGCAATGTGAAATGATACCATCACATTCACTTAAGCTGCGATCAGATATGAAAACTCAGCAAATGCAGATAGTAATTCTGTGACTGCATGTGTGTGTTTTTCATATGCCTGTGTGTTTGTGTGTTTGTGCGACTGTAGCCTAAAGTCATGCGCTTCACACACAAGTGTAAATACTGTATCTGTAAACAACCATAGGCACTGACCTCTCAGACAGTGGTGGAGAAAGCTGCATGTGTCCAACCATCTGACCATGTTGATATACTTCATCTGTGGGAAGAGAAAGGAGGTAATGTAAGAAAGAAGGATTTCCTTTCCAGTGCAGGTTGTCAGTTCAATCTGAACTGAACATTGACTTTAGTTTAGAGCATGTATGTTCATTCTTTACGATGAAACGGATCACCCCCTCTGTCTAACACGAAAATACAGTACTGGAGTTTTGTCCCTTCTACCATAGCAGTGCAAAGTATATATAGATGTGTGTATTTATATGTGGGCATGTGTGTCAATGCATGCAAGTATAAGAATGGGCAGATTGTAAAAACAAACTCTGTTTATGGGACAATAAAGACTACTTCTCTGTCTGCTTTTGGGAACACTATATGGTAAAGAGAATCAAAGCATAAACCTCCACTTAAAAGCTTCAGAGCTCTCAACCACATCTCATGTTCTCTGGGGCTGTGAGAAGCAGTTAAAAGCTCCAAAGCTAGAAAGTGGACCTTTGCACTTTGATTCTCTGTCCCAAGTGAACTTGAGTTGTTCTCAAACCTCTGAGCAGCTTCTGCTGGTTAGTCAGGATTCTGCGAAGCTCATTGAGCCAGGCCATCTTGACTTCCACGGTGGGAGCCTGAGAGACAGAAACATTACAACAGATGGTCAGTGAATTACAAAATTCTGTATATATTTCTGTCTATTCCAATAATGATGCAATTTCTTCTGTTAGTCCGCTATTTACAGTGTATACAATTAACAATTTGCATCCTAGACTTAACACTTTTTAAGACCATTATCCAATTTAAGACCTATTTCACATCCATACTGACAAAAAAAGTAGGAAGGATATGAAGAAAAATCTGTTTTGGCTCCATTTGTTTTGTAGTTGTTACAGCATCATCAATGCAAATCTTCCCAGAAACCAAGCCTAAAAAATGCAACTTTATACAACGTTAACTTAATTAATCCAGTAAATTTTTTAAGACCTGTCAAAATCATATTTAAGATACATTAAGGCCTAAAATAAAGATGTTTGGATTTTAGACTTTTTAAGACACAACAGAGACCATTAAATCAATTTGCTTTAAAATATAATTAAAAGATTATTCATTATCAGAATTGTTGCCAATTAATTGTCTAAGGATCAACTTATCATTACGGCTCCTGTTGAAAGGGTTTAAATTACCAATGAAGTACTGTATTTAAACTGCCAGCATTAAACTTTTTCAGACTCCTTACCTGAACCACATACACTTCCTCCCTGCCACTGTACCAGATCTCAAACTTCTTCACATCTCCCTTGACATTCTCTGTGATCCCCACAGCAGTCATCTGCCAAGAGACATACACTGTTTACACCGACACACACACACACAGCATTAGGACAGGGCACAAACAGCACATCATACATCAGGCTTACATCATGTAACACATCTGTCCTGTCAGAACACAAACATTCACACACCTCCGCTGTGTGACTGCTTCCTCCCCACATCCTCAATAATAAATCAAGAGCAGCAGCTGTTGGTGAGACACCAGCTGTGACACCCTCTCCGCACATCAACACATACAGCAAATACAACAAAAGAAGTCTTACAGGAATACAGCAGGTTCTGTGGCCAGCTGGACAACTTAGATGTGTTAAAGATGTCAACAGAGATGGATACCACTATCAAATATGTGACTCCAGGAGATCATTCACTTCATTAGTAAGTGCTACTACATAAGTTTACATCATGTTAGTCATAGTGACAGACATAATAAGTGATTATATGTAAGTAACTTTTACCGATGTAATAAACCATGTGTTACATTGTCATTGTTATGGTTTTTTGGAGGTTTTTCAGGTAGATTGCGTTCAAAATAACTTTCTTGTACAATTCATTGTTGTCTACATAATAAATACCCAAATTCAATAGAAAACTCTGGACTGTTCCAAGTTTTCTGGACAGTTAAATGATTATTATTTTGACAGGTGTTGCATACATGTAATTTACACATCAAGCAATTGATTTTAAAGGTTGTTCTACAGTCAAAGCATTGTACTGTAGAACATTTACCCAAAGTACTGCTATGGACACTACATTCAGTAGTGAAAACTTTTACTCTTTACATTCTGGCACTCAAATAAATTGGCAGGAAGTAAAAATGCTTTTTTTAAATAGACTTTTTTTCACTAGTTTGCTGTGAGTGATTTCAGGCACAGCAATAGTTTCCCATCATCAACCATGTTTTTATATAATCAAAACAAGTCTGAGTTTAGAGAGACATTTACCCATAAAAGTATTCTGTGGAGAATAATCCCCATTATATTTCATATTAATTTTACCAACCTCCTACACAAAAGTGACAATTATGGTTACATTTAAATAAATAATTACAATACTCTGTGCTTACATAGTAGCACTGAGTATTCAAGGTCAAACTATATTTTCATGTATTAATGCCACATTTTAACCAACGTAATCCTCTAAGATGCAAACAAACCACACAAACAAAAGCCAGACCAACCTTGAGACAGTTTTTGAAGCTGTACGAGGGGGTTTTGTCGCAGCCTTCTCCATGCTCCTCCCTCCGCTTGCAGAACAGCAGAGCTCTCTCGTACAAAAAGAGGTGTCTCTGCATTGGCTTGAAGCGAGCCAGCTCCTTCATGCGTGTGGGACCTCTCTTGTGGCTGATCCACACACTGAAAGAACCCTGCATCAGCACACGGCCCAGCTCGCAAATTTCACCCTGCAAATAATGGGGACAGGGATTTATCTCAAACGGGTTAGAGTTCAGTAATTCAGAATGTTCACTTCTTATCAGTCAAACATGGGTCAGAACAGATTTGGTTCACCTCATATCCTGTGATGGCTATCTGATGCATGGAGTCATTGACTGATTTGAGCAGGTCCAGCATTGCTGTTAGTGCCTCCTGCAGTTCAGAAGTCCCCTTGCAATCTGTACTGTATTTCAGTAGTTCCTGAACACACAAACAAAAGAACAGACATGTAGTAAAATATGTGCACACACAAATCCATGCAGAGCCACACATAAATACAGGCACTAAAACAGTACACTCTACTGGTAAAGACTTATAATAAACAACAAGAAGTAAAAGAAACAGGCATGTCCAAATCTATTGCTACATTATCCAGAACCATTTAACACATGTACTGTATGCAGTTGTGTGGAAACTTATTTTTGATAGGGGTTTCAGAAACTGGTAGTGTTGTTGATATGTTTTTGATAACTGGGCACATTTGCTGCTTTTGTTTTCCATCTGACATGGTGCTGGCTTGGTAGATTATTTCTGCATTTAAGGACAATACAGCATATACTCACGTACTGTACATAATGTAGGTGATTAACTTTGTGTGTATGTTTGTGACATGACTTCGCTCTGTGTCTAACCTTAAGAAGAAGCTGGTATTTCGTGAGGCGTTGGACTGGTTTCAGCAAGTAGGAATCCAGGCCCAGTTTGTGCTCCAGCTTTTTTTGACACTCCTGCACAAGGAAGAAAAATTAAATAAAAGTGTTTGTCAGTGACCACAGTAACTGTGTAACTGTAAAAGTGAAAGAACAACAGTTGTTTTAACTTTGTCCTACATTATTTTTGTCTTATATGACACCAAAATAGTAAATTAATCAGAAATAAATGCTAAATCATGGCTAAACTGACCTGAAAGAAGGCACAGTCTGAGAATTGTCTCCACAGTGCCTCAGAGCGCGGTTTATTCTGACAGTAGCATTCATACATTTGGAAACTCTCTTTCTGGGGAGACAGGAAAGAGAAATCAGTTTGAAAAATATGGAAACAAATTGTACAAATGATCAAAATATAAAGAAACTATACAACATAAATATTCATATCATCTCACCCGCTCCAGAAAACAAGCTCCTACACCTTCCGGGGCCTCCAGGCAACCTTCCAGGTCTTGAAGGAAAACTCTGAATCCCCAGAAAGGTCAAAGGCCAAGAATTAGATCTCAAAAGCCAAACAAAGTGACTGAAACAAACACCATAACCCACCACCATAACCCATACCCTCCCACACACAGGCTTAATACAATAACTGGCTGTTGGGGCCTCTGCCGGCACCCGGCCCATGTGACTACTACTTTCCAGAGGCACTCGCTTACCGAGGTTTAGTTTTTTAATAAAAGAACACATGAATCAGAAATCCTCTGTTTAAAAATACAAAGAGCAGGGGTGCTGCTTCAATTTGTTGTGGTTTGGGCAGGTAAGAGTAGCTCAGGTCAGATATCTGAGGTTTGATTGTATTTTTTGTGTATTTTATTTACAGTTGGTTGCATTTATTTGATTTAAGTGGCACCCTTTTACCTTTGTTCACCTCCTTTGTTGTTACATACAACTAATCCCTACACCACCACCACCAATTCATGTGATTTTATGTAGTTTCCCTTTGTAACATTGGAGTATACACAAGCTCACTCTACAGAAACCACTGTAACTATGAATGAAATCTCCCTCAGTACCACACACATTTCCAGCTAGGGTGGTGTATTTGGCTTTACAAATGGGCAACAAAATGAGCCATGGACCTCAACGGGAAGACAAGATTAAAAAAGCAAACACTAAAAATTCTCCAATGTGTATGTTTTAACCCACAAAAAGTTATGTTTACATTCACTACCAAATACTATACAATACTACAGGTTTGGCTGTCTAATCTTTCAACAGACTAGTAATTATATTAATTAGCATTTATGTTAAGGTAGCTTTCTAAAAAGAGATCAAATGTAACAAAATCATATCAAAAAACATAACTCTGTTATGAAGGTTGCATCAAAGGCTAACAGAACTTTTAATAAATAAATCTTGGTGTGCCAAACCTTAGTAGAGAACATGGAAACAAGGTACCAATTTTCTGTTTAAATAGGCATCACACCCTTAAAGTGTTTTACCTTTATCTGTTACCTTAAAGGACCAGCGTGTAGGATTTAGCAGCATCTAGTGGTGAAGTTGCAAATTGCAACCAACCGAAACCCCCAGACTAAACCAAGCATGAAGGGGAAACGACAGTGTCTGTGAAACTCAATAGGCATTATCTAGAGGCAGTGTATGGTTTGTCCGTTCTGAGCTTCTGTAGAAACATGGGAGTTCAACATGGTGGACTCTGTAGAAGAGGACTTCCTCCCTATTGAAATAAAAAGGCTCATTCTAAAGTAACAAAAAACACAACAATTCTTATTTTCCGGTCATTATACACTAATGAACCTATGAATATTATATTCCATTTCGGCCAATAGATCCTCCTAAATGTTACACACTGGACCTTTAATCTTAGATGCTTCATTGTTGCAATATTGCTTAATAGTAAAATAAAATCTGTTCCATTATAAAGTAACTGACCACCCAATGAATATTGTATTTTGACTCTTTGACTCACACTTCACATACATGCTTGTCTTTGTAATATAAACAGGTCTATGCGTGATGTGACTCATTAATCACTTGCCTGCTGTGAAAATTGTAGATCTCAGGCATGTTCCCAAAGAGGATGTCTCTTTTGCTGCGCAGGATTGGGGGCAGAAGCCCTGACAGAGCTGGGTTGTCCATCTCAGCCCTGTAACCCTGCAACATAATTAAGAAAATATATAGTTTATGCATATGCAATATAAACAGGAGTAATTTAACAAGCATAATATACACACTATATTTTTTTCACTTTTGGGTGTCATAAGAAAGGGAAAGAGTGTGTTTTCTCACCAGCAGAACTGACAGCAGCTCTTCCACATATATTCTTTCTGTTTCTATGAGTTCCCTCATCACATGACTGTGACACGGACATACAGAGAGAAGTAGACAGAGAGACAGCCAGAGGGCATCATTAGCACTGAACAAAGGGAATCACAAAGTAAACAGCATCAAGAGCAGTATTGAGGACAGACAGATGTGTGGACAGATGCCTCCTCCTCACCGCTTCAACTGATCTGGGCTGTCCTCTCCATCCAGACCGTACGACACACAGCTCCGGCTCTCCTGGTAGTCGTGAATGACCTCTATCTGAACACCACAAATGAACAACACTGGCTATTCCATTGGGATTTAGATTGTTATCATACTGAAGTAAAGTGAAGTTTGTTGGACCAAAGAAAAGAAAATTATGAGATAACAAACATTTTTGGACGCAGCTGTGAGAGTGGACGGAAGTAAATAAAACAAACAAACATTTTCCTTACTTTTCTAGGGTTAGGGCTCTTTCGGGATGTTTTCTTCCCGGGCAGAGAGAGGTCGAACGTGAACTTCAAACCATCACCTGTAAAAGCCAGACAATCAGCTGCAGTATACACTTACGTTTATGAGTGTAATTCACATACAGTTTATTTATATGTGATCTGGTGAGGTGTATTGAGGAGATGGTTTGTTTAAGTATCAACACTAAATAAAAAAATACTGTTTTATGACTTGGCCTCAAAGGGATTTGCTTGCCCTGCTTATGAACTTTTCTATACCTCGATACAGGAAAAAAAATCAGCTTCATAACTGACATTTGAGGTTATTAATGATAATAGATTGCCTCCTCTAAAGGTGCAGCCTGGAAACCGGTATGTACAGATCTAAAGAAGTGTTTGGCACGACTGTCAGTGTCCTTTTGATCCCAGCAGCTGAATCCTTACATGATAGTCCAAGCCCAACCGAGTCTTGTGCCCTTTCATGTGCCATGTAACATTAATCAGTGGTGTGTGCGCACACACATACGTGCACATATGCATGTACCGGATCAAATCAATCAAAGCTAACCACTTTTTTCCCCATCATCTCCTCTCCTAAATGGCTGGTGTCCCGAGAATCAAGGGAAGCCTCAGAGGAGTTCATAATCACTTTCATTGTCTTTCTTGTTATTACTCTCATTCGCACGGCTTCATATCATGGAGAACAAAACCTTTAAAGACATGAATGGACATAAAAAAAAACCTAATCTATCAAAATCTATCATTTTACTTTCGCACAAACACTGATGGAGATACATTTGATGGCACAGTAGATACATTCACATAAAAAGAAAACACACCAGATAATACATAGCATTAATTAAATAGCACTGAATATGGTTAGCTTTGTGCAACCACCCTGGAGACACAGAGGGAGATGAAAGGTCCTTTAATGTATATGAACCACATATGGTTCTATTGCAGCTATCCTGACTAATAGAGTAGTCAGGTATTTCCCAGTGGACTGATTATACCTTCTACACTTGTTACAGCTTGTTTGTAAAGGTGGCCTACTAACCCCCGAAGCTCAATCAGGAACACATCAGGCCTACTCTGTGGCACCTTGTGATGTGTTAATGTAACCATGGTGCCTAAAGGAAAGATGCATGGGGGGAGGGATTCGTGCCAGGCCATTAGGGCTGGGACGAGACCCCATACTGGGCATGGGAAACAGGGGAGGCTCTGTGTGTGTGTATGTGCTGTATACCATGCTTGGGGGAAAAGAGTGGGGACTTGGAGCGTGGTGGGTTTTCAGGCCTGGGGGCCACCAGTTGGACTGGTCGTACATGTTTGTCAGCCAGCTTCCTTAAACAAGCCTGTCGGTTTTGGATCATCTGCTGCACTGTTGCATGCTTCTGAAACGTTTCTCCAATCTGGCCCTGAGAAAGAGAGAGAGAGGAACACAGAGGCAGGATAGTCAATAGTTCAAGGTCAAACAAATTGAAGTTTTACTGCTCCAGCTGGTGGTCTGAAAATGCTATGATTTAATTCTTTTAACAAAAAAAAAATGCAATGGTCACTGACCTGAACTGGAGCTGTGATGACAGCCTCGTACTCCATGGCCAGGACGTCAGGTCCTGAGCTCAGCATAGACGGCGCCGCCTCCAGGAACCTCTCAATGTCCCTCAAAGCAGCCTGAGCCCCCTCCTTAGACTGGAACTTATCTACTAGCTGATTGGCCAGCAGATATGCTCCATCATCACACCAAGTTTGGGCCTGAAGGTGGAGAACACGTGTATAACCATTGTGTGTGTGTGCGTGTTGGTATGTGTGTGAGAATGCACATGTCTCAATACCTGTCCCAGACAAAGCAGCAGCTGGTGTGTTTGCAGGAGACGAGTGTGTTTGGTCTTGAGAGCAGCATTAAGTGTATCACAGTAGTGGCGAAGCTCGTTGCAGCGCTGCATAATAAGAGCCATGGCGTAGTGGTGACCGGCTGACAGCTGGTGTCCGTGAAGAATGATGATCTGAGCTCGAGCCATCACCTCCTGATAAAGCAAGAATGAAGCAGTAATTTTTTTGGACACAGTGTGATCACAGAGATACTGTATATACAGTATAGGTATTTGTAGCAAAAGTAGGTGCAGTTATTTGCAGATCTGATTAGGAACACTGACCTGTGCATTTATTTCCAGACTGTCCAACCTTTTGAGAGCCTGTTCTGCTTGAGCCAGAGTGTCAACAGATATGGGCAGCTCGCTCTCCTGAGACATGAGATGGTCCAGACACAGCTCCATCTAAATAAAAACACCATTGGATATACACACTCTGAAAAGAAAAATTCTAAACATTCTAAAGCCTGCCTGGTGTCTCGTAGAGGCATTATAACTCACATAAAAACATGATATCTCATGAAGTGCCCAGAATTAAGAGATGAGAATGAAAATACAGACCATGGATGCAGACATAAACACACAAAAACATATATACATGTAGCCTACACTTGACTAATATGTGAAATTCTTACCTCCTGAAAGCTTTGCTCATATCTGAGCAACTGTAGGTACTGATGGAGTTTCAGATGATGCTTCTCAAAGAAGCCATCGAAGGCTGATTCCATGTCTCTGAGCTGTGCAAGAAGCCTAAAAAACAAAAGGACTTTGCCATAGATTTCATTTGTTTCCAGTATAAAGTGCTCAGTAAAGGATTTGAGGCTTAGAATACACTTTTTAGCAACTAATCCAAGAAAAGTACATAAAGAAAGTACAAAGAAAGAAAAAAAGCTTGAAGATGTCTTACCTTTGTACTGTCTCCCAGTCCAGCCTCACATCCCACTGGGAGTCATCATCCTTCCCAGAGGTCTCCAGGCTTAAGAGAAGATGACGACCCTCCTTTGACACTGACCTGATTGCATCCTGTCAAAAAGAGGACAGTTTACATCAGAAACGATCAGCATTTAAAATAGAACTTAATGAAACGCTACCATATTTTGCAGAAAAAGTATAAGAGTAATGCAATTGTGGTAATATTAATGAATTAATCTTATATGGAAACATTTTAAACCATACCTTGAGCTTCCTGTACTTGTCAGTATGAGACTCCAGGAGATACTCGATTGCTTTCCCCTCATCAGGCAGCTCTGTCTCCGCCAGCTCAGTGCCAAAGCCCTGCAGCATCTGTGCGATGTCTTTGACTGTTACAGCAAAACTTTCAATAGCCTGTAGTGGAAGAAAAAGACAAAGAATACAGAAACAATGACATTAGATAATATGTGGGGCTGTAGAAACTATCACTGAACTACCCAGAAGCACTTGGGTGGAATAGGTGTATTTCCTTGTGTATGTTATGTCATGTTCATATATGCAGAATTGATCAAACTGGTACACAAATATATGCTCAATCATAGGGGTGAATCTCAGAAACTAAAAGAAAATAACAGGAAGATGATGAAGGATGATACAGTTTATCGTTTGCTCCCAGATAACTGATTTGTAGCTTACTGTTCGTAAAACAATCCAGTCACTATGACAATAGTCCAAAGTGCCTCCAAACTCTGAAGTCAGCTGGTTCTCATCGATGTAGCGCAGCAGGTCTGTGACAGAGCTCAGCATCACCACCTAAAGGTGCAGACAAAATCTGAGACCTCACAAAGAACACTTTGTACTTTTAGCAAATTGTGGCATGTTAAATTTCTCTTTCGGGTTTATGTATATCATTACATAATGTTTTTAAAATATATAATAGTTTTTTTTTAATAGGAAAGCTAGTTTGGGAAAGTGCGATACTGGAGGACATATGATTGGCACCAGAATAAAGGGTAATAAAGTAAATAACCACTGGCATGTACTCTAGTTGCTCATAATAGTCAGTCTCTGGATATGGCACGACAAACATCAGATTTGTACTGCTGATACAGTTAAAGTACTATTAGAAACATCCAGGATAACCTGCTTATTTGTTTCAAACATTAAAACTGAAATCAACAACGTGTTCGTGGCTGTGTCCACCACAGAACATTTGACTCATGGAGATCAGGGTTGTAAACAGGAACGAGGTGTACCTTGTTGTGATGTGGGACATGTTTGGTAACTGAGGAGGAGCTGCCTTACTGGCATCTTGAGCATGAAGTCCTCTTGGCTGAAGCGAAAGCCAATATCAGTAACAGTGCGGTGGAAAAAGCTGGTGGGTCGGAGCACCAAGACCAGGTGGAGGTTTCCAGGAAAGGAAGCCTTGAGGAGGGAAAAGAGGTTCCCTGTCATATTGAGGATGCTGCATATGGAGAAGGATTCAGTAGGAAACAAAAACTCTTCCATTTTTCCACTGTGCAACATCGACCTGACTCCTGCATGCATACCGCACAGGAAACGACTGTCAGGCAGTCTATTACTGCCCGCCTAATGGATTCAAGGTTCAGTCACTACACCATTTACACACATGTCCTATGCTGCACTTCATCTTTAGGTCGTTGACCTGACTGTGTAGGAATGTCTGCTCAGTTTCTGCAGTATCTATAAGACACAGGGCTGGTATTACAACACTATACCTCTCTGAGCCTACCATAGGTGTGACGAGAAATGTAAATAATTACTGTGGCATGCTGTATTGTAAGAAAATAAAAGAGTTTGATATTCTATCCATAGTCAAGGAATTTCAGACTTACATCATGTGATTGCAAGTCATGCAAAAGCCAGCTCCGCAGAACGGTTTATGTATACTACATCGCTTCCTATATATTTAGTAATTTCTTGAAATGTCACCAATGCATGCATTTTGCATGTGACGCAACTTCTGACATTCATTTGTCCTGACTCGACCACGGGGGTCGAAGAGCCAAGCTTCTGATTTCAAGCTATACATGAATCAAAAAACCACACATCAGTCTGATTAAGTTTCATTCATGTTTCAGACGCAGCCAATGGCATGACGAAGCAGGAGCGCGCGCTGCACCGCAGTGCTACAACAACCCCCCCCCAGCAGCCACAGCCGGTGCCACTGCCGCATTCACCATGCCCGCCCAAAAACTTCACCCCAAACTCCTCAGACGGTGAATAAAACTAATGAGCAGCTCGTTACCGGGCTCCGGCGCATCTTCGGTATTCCCCGCCGGTAAAAGCAATCAGCCATGGTGTTAGAAGCCATCTCGGTTAAACGTAAGTTCCCGCCCGTCCGATGGAAATCGGTGCCAAGCTAAGGTATGCAGCTCCCTCCGCCCGGCCGACCACAGCCGCAGCGCCGCTGCTGCCTGCTGCCTCTCAGACGGAGGGTGGCAGCGCTGACTGCAATGTTTCCCTCCCGCCTTCCTCCTTCTTTCCTCTGCTCAGCACCCCGCGTCATCACACCATTTTTTGCTTACTCATACATTTTCAGCAGTGTGCAATGGGACATTTGATGCGGACAGAATGTTTAGGCTATAGGAACTATACACCAAGCCGAAACCCTCTGTTGTGCTAAAATATCTTTGATCTCGTGGTTGCTGTGAGGGTGTTGCTCAGGTTTTCAGCACCATGGACAGCAACTCATAAATAAAAGAGCAGCCTATAGGCACAGCCATGCTGCAGCTAGTTGTCATATGCATGATGTCTAAACTGTCTGTTAGGAATATTGATTAGCTACAAATGGCCTGGATGGAAAGGCAAAATGAAATATGAAACTCACTGCTATCCTGGCAAGTGCAGTTTTGATGGAGGCCCATGTATCCAATCTCCGGTCTAAAATGATGATAAATTTGACTCCGGGTTGCCTCGTTCTGCAAGAAAAATAACGCAAATGTACAATCAATCGGTGCAACCACTGAGAATTTAGTGTTTTGAAGCATGAAAATGAGAACAGATAACCAGTCGTGAACAGGTGGATTAGTCAAATCATCCTGTAAATTTGTGTCATTTATAGGTGCTTTACAACTACATACTTTAGCTCTTTATCATTTCAGATTCACTGCAATGGTACATGGGTGAAAAGTATCCAATTTAAACTGTTAGTCTCTCGGGAGAGTGAGGTTTGGACATAGAGGGCATCAGTAGGACATTTGACACAGTGAGCTGAGGAGCAGTTGAGGTCAGCTGTGCTCAGAATACAAGCGCTGAGCTTTTGGTGCACTGCAGAAAGGGAGAGAGTCAGGCAGGAATAGATGAAGGAGGACGCACCGAGGAATGAGAGTGAGGTATGTAAAGACTTTGGCTAAAGCTTCCTCTGGAATGTCACTGAAAGCAGAGCATTCTGGGAGGGTGATGATGACACTGGAGTCTTCCCCACGGCCCCCTGGGGAAAAAAGATATAAGCAATCGATTACAAATGTGTTTTTAAAGCGTAAAACAATGTGGAAGTGAGTTTGGTCTTTAAAAACTCTGGTGAGGATTGGGCAGAGATTCAAATCAAACAAGTTTTACATATTAGAAATCCTAAACAGGGCCTCACCTGACAGATATGCCACCTGTTTCTCTATGTAGCCCCCCACCTCCTTCAAGCTTACGGGGACAGTCACCTCTGGAGAAAGATACACAAATTATAAACAACTAAGGCTTGAATACCATCACAGGTCAAAACATTGTCAGTCATGCCCACAATAAAAAAAGTCATTGTGTGCAGGCATTGTTCCATCCTGTGTCTAAAACCTACAAAGCAGCAGGCTAAGAGTTTATTTTGCACGGCCTAAATACTGTTTCAAAGGTTTTTCCACTGTGACAACCACGCTGAAGCCTTTGTCGCCGAAGTTCCGAGATGAAAGTGCTCACATTTAAAAATAGCAACTTGCCCCTATCAGCTTTAATCTGAAAATAGAGATCTTTTGAGAGAGGTTCCATGATACTCAGCAGACACTTCAGCTGGATGTGCTGCCCTACTATAGTAGATATAAAATGACATCATTAAAACGCATTAGCTCGTTTACTGTACAGCCTCTGAACTGATGTTGATGTAGTGTTTACTGGCAGATAGCCCAGTGTCTCATGCGTGGTGCCATTAGTGTTCTAGTCTAAGTGGCTAATAAATGCACAGTCTCTTATAGAACAGTGATTGCAGTTCATACATGTGCCCTTTGGTGCACCAGGATTCATTTAACCAGATGTGTAAAAGGCAGAGACACTGATCAGTGCAACATGCTCACACTGCTTTTACTAGTAGATTTAATACATGTAGTGGATGATCTTATTCTAAGTAAGGCACACAATTAGGCCTGATGGGTTTATTAGTTGATGTGGAGACTGAAGCTACAAAAGATGTTTCTTTAAGAGAATTACAATGGCAATGTCTCTTTAATATGAGCTCATTTACTATATCATTATATACAGCGAGACATGGAGTATAACTTTCCAGCTTTCTCTCCAAACAAGACTTATTAAAGACAAAAGAATGGAAATTGAACACAGTAGGAGGAACTAACTTATTAAAACCATATTTAACTAAAGGTCTCTGCCCCTGTTCAGCAGTTTATGCAACAGATCACCAGCGCAGTAAATCTGCTCAATATAGATCTTTTTCACAGCAGCCATTTTGGCATGAAATAGTAGAGTAAACACAGTTGTTAATTATGGTACTAATTAAATTAATTCAGTTCCATTCAGGTCACACAGAGTCAGGGTGCTGCTACTGTGCATGCTGGCTCACATGAAAGGCTCTGCTACACTAAATGGAATGGAACCTTAAATGGCTGCTGTGAAAAAAGAGAAAAAGACAGTCAGAAAGAGATAGAGAGAGGGCAAAAGAAACAAAGAGAGAGGAGGAGGAGGAGGTGTTAATTTCCATGCGTCCGCTGCAGTAATAATGTCCGTCAGGCTGTCAGGGAGCAAGTAATGAGCTTTACTGGTACCTGCTGAATATTTGATGTGTGTCTGTAACAAAGAGTAGCTGCTACCAACCCAGGCCAGAGCAGGTCCAATGGCTGGGCTGTGCACACACACTGTAGATGCAGGGTAAAGTTACCGTCATGCTAGAATAGTTATATAACCATTTATATTCTGTGACACAAGACCTTCAGGAGGTAGAGACAGGTCTTAAATGAATGGATGTAAGTTAATGTCATTTTCCATTAGGATATGTGCCATATTTAGGCATTTTATGTTGTGAATTATTTATATGAAACAATGTGTAACTTAGTGTGGGATGTAGAACAGTTCATGGTCTTAGCATGTATGCAATGTAAATGTTTCACATCTTACAAATAAGATGCCAATGAGCAAATCTGTTAAACAAATTATAAACACAGTACTGAAGTTGATGCTTAAGAAAAACAACACAAGCAAAGGATAAACAAGCACACACACTGCAGATCTCTACTGCATTAAATCAGACGAAGGGCAGCCTGTGCTGCAAACTGCAACGCTGATAATAAACTTGCCAGTTTAGGGAGATACTGTACTCTCCCTTCACCCTGCCCGACTACCGGTACATGCCACAGTCTAATTAATTTCAGGGCACTGCCAGATGAAAGAATAAAGCACAGTTGAGCATAAATAACTCACTTATACACACACATTTTAAACAAATAATAATAATAATATGACCATACAATACTCAAAATATTTAGAAATAAACGAATCCCTTTTTAGCTGCAATTTTGATTAAGAAACGCTGTGATTCTCTTTGAGCTTACGTCATGACCTTTCCATGTGACATGCAGGACAGTGTGTGCAGGCAAAAGTCAAATAACCTCTGTTTGCTGTTCCGTTCTTACACACATAGAAAGAGGAATGTTTGCTGGTGTGGACGGAAACAGAGACTTGCTGCCAGTCAAACAGATCCAGACTCGGACCAATCCGTTCAGTCTGCATACAAAGCTGAAGGCAGGGAGCTTATCTCTGTTGTCCAAACAGTGATAACCGTCGACACTGATTTCATTACACACAGCTCCTATAAAAAGCATTTAACCCCCTGTGCCTTTTCAAGTTTTATTATTTTACAACACTTAATCACAGGGGATGTTATTAGGATTTTGACAATGATTAGTGGAAAAAATTATGTCAAAGTAAAAAAAACTCTCCAATTCGAGTTGTGTGTAAAAGGTCAAAGGGTGTGTATATTTTATGTACAGAAAAACAGTGACTGGTCTTTTTTACAGGGAATGACTCAGGTAGAAAACAATATATTTTTTTATATTGGCTGAGCAATTGATAGCACAGAACCACACCTTAGTCACATAGTACCGTAAATCTTGGTGAATCATACAGAATGACAGCAAAGAGAGGCTGGTTTCAGTGTAGAGAGTGCATATACCCAACATTGATGTTGCGTTCAGCCTGATTTTGTAGAGACCCAAAACGCGGACACATGTAATCCTTTGCAGAGCAAGAAATCCCCTCTTACACATACAAACATAGTACACAGAGGACAAGCCTGATGCTGCTTTTAGGTCATGAGATATTTTGCTCAACAAAGCTTTCAATGCTAAGGGGATTAGGTGGCTGCATTCTGATAGAAAAGGGTAGAAGAAAATTTTGTAGTTTACCCGCTGAGATGCATGAAAACTAGACAAGAAAGCCATATCTTTGCCTTCACTGCTCACCGTTTGAGCATCTATGACCTGTTCTCTTTAGTCTGAAAATAATGTGGTACTTGGTTAGAATAAATTTTGTAGTTTTATGGTGACACATTTGACTCTTAAAGAGCAAAAAAATCAAAAAAAAAAAAAAATCAAAAAATGTCCTCCTACCACCACATTTTGTGCTGTGGTAGGAGGACATTTTTTGATT